ACTACTAAATTACTACAATAATTATAATATTAATTAATGTTAATACTAATAGTAATACTATGATACTATGATACTAATATAATAATAATAGTAATACTAATAGTAACACTATGATACTACGATACTAATATAATAATAATAATAATAATAATAGTAATACTATGATACTATGATACTATGATACTAATATAATAACAATAGTAATACTAATAGTAATACTATGATACTATGATACTATGATACTAATAATAATAGTAATACTGTATACTAATAATAGTAATACTATAATACTAATAATAATAGTAATACTAATAGTAATACTATGATGAAATACCAATAATACTAATAATACTAATGCCAATAATACCAATAATACTAATACCAATAATACCAATAATACTAATACCAATACCGATATTAATATTTATAATGTAATACTAAACACTATAATTATATAATTAATAATAATATTATATAATTATATAATTAATAATAATATTATATATAATTATATAATAATATTAAACATAATTTTGCTCAGTTATGAGGGAAAGCAAAATCTTGACTTTTACTAAATTATAATTTTCCCCTAAGTTAGAATGTAACATCACTATTAAATAAAGAGACTCAATCTAGTTCTATAAATTTATGTGCTTCTCTCCATTAAATAGATATAATCAACACTTACTTTCAAATTCATAGTAGTCTGGATCGACAACTTTTAGATACTTTTGTGCCACACGTCTAGCACACTGGTCCTCGTCTAAACGTAAGATACTTTTCAAAAACTCCATCATTTCCTCCTTGTTCTCGTGCCACATTGTCGCGCAGGCGTATATCCGTGTTACGTGATCGCTGCTCTTTACAGCCGACGGGGGTGTAGTCGAGCCGTCTGTTTGCTCGTATATGGTCTCGTAATCTCCATCGCCCTTTTCTTTCTCTATTTCCGCCAGATCCTGCCCGACAAAAAAAAAGAGAAAGAAACAATTCTTACATTCTCGTGCAAACGACTATGTCTCTGGTTTTCACTCGTTTTCTAAACGTGTACGAAAGATATTGCGAGAAAGGCTTGGTCCAATATTTCGACGATGTACAATTTTCGAGATTTCTAATGTCGCGAGCTAAATTATCACTTTCCGGGTCGTGATTAGAAAATACCTTTCGCAGCTTCGTTACATTAATAGAATAGGTGAGAAAAAAAAAGGGGAAGACTAAAGGATCGAAAGTTCCAACTTTCTCGAAGTTAATTATGTTCAGAAATAAAATTGCAGATGTATTTATGAGTACCTATGTTTCTCGAATGCAAAGTAAAAAATACACTATAAGAGAAATACACTTTATAGATAAAAATATACACATTTCTTTCAACCCAGCAAGATTTGTATCGGATTAGCCTTGTTCTGCATGATACGAAGTGAAGCTTCTCCTGATATTCAATGTGTGTCGATAGAGCTTCTTATAACACCTCCATGAATATATAAAACATTGTTGAAGACAGGTTTACGAATAAAATAGAGAGATTGGCACGACTATCTCTAGAAAAATGGCACGACTTTTTCTTCTGAAATAGAATCGTTTTCCGGAGCTCTTAGTGCAGAGAACCCATAAGACAGAAATCGAACATTGAAAATGAAACTTTGCTCTAATACTTTCATCTTTCTTCGAATACAGAAAACAACTGTAAGATTGTAACAACATATTTACTATGAATAATATTTAAATTACTTTTATTCTTTTGCTCGGCAAAATTATAATAGATTGCCAACTCAAAAATAACAAGGAGACAGATTTAATTTATTATCATGCTTACGTGCTTTTATTTTATAATTGTACGACCGACGAGGATATTTTTACTTTATTCAGAAAAATAGAAACGATACGTTTCTTTCGTTCATTAGACGTCGTTCTTATTTGTAACAAGAAACCAAAGAAACGGTGTTTCGATTAAAAAAAAAAAAAAAAAAGGATTGAACATCCCTTTAAGAATTATGCTCTGGATAAAACGAAAGAAAATCACGTTAGTGGATTCTTTAAAAAAAATTGTTCAATTCCAGAAGAGGTTGAAATTGGTCGATTCCAATTGTAATAAAAATACTCGCAGACAAAACTCTAATAATGTCCAATACTCGTTGCAAATGTTGAAAAAGAATTCTTCAAGTCTCAACTTATGATCCACTGGACTTTGACATAACTATTCAACTAGAAAATATACACTCGA